GAAAAAAAAAACATTTTTATCATTTGTAAATTTAGAGGAAAAAAGCATAGTTAAAAGTATATTATTGTTTTGTTTAGATATAAACCTATGTTATTATTTCGTTTTTAATATAACTAAAATATTTATGTGGTTTTATTTGACAAAAAAACAACACACTTTTAGTGGTTAACCATAAAATACTTTTTCAATCGTTAAACCGAAAAAAAATGGTTTTGTCCGACTTCTATAAGGATAAATTTATATTGAGTAAATTATATTTTTTGTTTTTAAGTTTGTTAGATTTTGCAAGTTCGGTCTAAAAAACTAAGTATTTAGTCCTTGAACCAATATATATATATATATATATATATATATATATATATATATATATATATATACACACCATACTGCCATATTTGTAATTTTCTTTTATGTAAAATTTAAAATATTTTTAGTCTATATTTAATGATTTATAATTATCAATGTTTTAATACTACAATCCAACACGGTCAATGGAATATCTACGCCTTTTTATATTTTTATCTCCTAAGTTGTATTACTTATAATTATAATCGTATAATAATATAAAATATGGACAACAGGACAATTTGATAATGTTTAAGACAATAATTATTTTTAATTAAAAAAAAGAAAAAAAAAATAAGAAGGACAATGCCTTATTTCGTGGAGAAGTTTCACATATACTGATGTAATTGGTATGGTTGTAGATAACATGGTTGATACTAAAAAATATGATAATTTGATATTGTTTGAGCACCTTGAATTCACCTAGAGCATTCGTCATATTTCAACTTGTATTGCTTTAACGACATACATATATTGCGATATCTTGGTAACTACTCAACATTTAAAAAGATGAGGAACTTAAAAATAGAAGAAATGTTGTTTTTCCAAAAAAATAAAAATTAGTAACACTTCAAGTTATAAAATATTTTGTTCCTAGATACACATACACAGTCGCACAATACAACATATTAGAAAACTTGTATTTTATGTGAAATTTGAAAAGAGTCATGGAAAATATTCAATAATATATGATATGAACAAAGATACAACATGAATAGCATTTCTAACCATATTTATAACATGCAAAACCCATTCCCTTACGCCCCCTTCAATCTTCATCACGGGTGACAAACTCCATCCCACACACCTTTAGTCTACATACCTATAGCACAATCAAAATTTTAAAAATGTAAACGATTGACATGCTAATTTACCATCAGGTAGTTTGGACAAAACATAAAGGCTCCATGTAAAGGTTTAAAATGTATAGAATTGACATGCTAATTGACCAGAGGTAGATGAGACATAACATAAGGGTCCCATAGGTCATGGCATCAAAATTGGAAAGAGAGAACTTACCACATGGATTCGGTTGAAGTTATATGTTCAAAGGCATCTGGTAAGATGTGGATTAAGTTGCTGGCTAGGGACCTGAAAAAAAGTGTCATTATCAGAGTATAAAACTTCACCTATCTTACAAAGCTAAGGGGGATGATGACACCAATTCCACCACAAAAATGATGGTGAATATAACATCTATTTTGTACTAAAGGAACTCATGTTTGTCGGCGTTGCTGTTATTGCCCACCTGTATGAAGTATAAGCAAAAAATCTTTACCACATGCCTTTGAAAAGACCTTATAGAGAACTCACCTTAAAGTTTTAATATATCTTTCTTTTGAACAACTCTCGTCTCCCACTTTCAATAATCTACTCCAAAAACATTTGTTTTGTTAATTTAGTAAAAAGGAAAATCGGCCTTCAGTTCTAGCTTACCTTACATAAAAATATGGTTTCTCTGCTAGATTTTTAAAAGAAATAATGGTGATTTAACTATAGATCCAACACCTACTGGCCCTCCCAATATGATAGCCATTGTTTCATTATACTTTACCATAGTTAAAACATACAAACATTACTGCATAAAAAAAACAATGATGATAATTGGTAGAAAAGTGATTTCTTATTAGGTTATCTGGTAAGAAAACCCAACATAAAACCTTAAGAATTAGATATAATACCAAATAAAGGTCCCAAGATAATAGCCATTATTCCCTTGTATTTTACTCACGTAAAATTCGCAAAATAAATATCAAACACATAGATTTAGTTTCTAACATTAAAAGCATAAAAAATAATTACCATTGCAAGAATTGAGCATATTATTAGTGAATAAACTCACTTTCACAATTTTACAATTAGATTAAATACATATAATAAATGGCATACCTATAAGCTTTGATACATGAGACTGTAAGCTCTATTGCATTGTTAAGGTTTATAGGATATGCCTGAAAGATAAAGGTACAATCATCAAGTTTCTCGTTTCCATGTTAAGTAATAAGGTTAATTATTATTTTAAGCAAAAAAAAGTCATACCGATAAGAAAATAAGATATGATCATCTTCTAATTCTTCAAATTTCATAAGGACAAAGCTTTCTAACCTTTTTCTTATTTTTGTGATGATATGCTTGCATATGCAACAACTCTGTACCACAATAGTATCACTTGTTTGGGCAAAAACAGTTGTAATACATTCATATTTGGCTTGTTGAATGGAATTGGTATTGTATTAAGAATACCAACTATCAAAAGTTAAATTAACTAATTACAAAAGTAAAATTGAATAACCAAATGTCATTGATCAAATTTGGGCTGGATTTGGATGATGATTATTTTGAATAACCAAACGGTGTGCTGATTTGGAAAGGACTACAACAAAAAAAACCATAAAAAACCCAAAAAATTATATCACGTATGTTGCAGCTCTAACCTCAATTTTTTTCATTAAATTCAACAGAACCATACCTAATCAAGGAAGTGAAAAAGAGAGATCGATATTGAGAAACGGTAGAGAGTGGTGGTTGGTGGTGGATTTATACAAACACAATGCATAAACAACCTTTACCATATACCACCTGTCATCACTTCTGGCATCACACTAAACACCAAAAACCACCTTATACTTCCACCATCATAGCCCGCCTTAATCTCTTCCACCACTGAAAACCGCATCCCATTACAACCTCCTTAAACCACCAAGACCACCTCTGCGGGCCTCCCCTTTCCTCCCGATGAACACCTCAACACCAGCGAGAACCTAAACCAAAACCTTCATCGGACCAAGAAAGAAGAAAAAAAGGAGGCGTCTGTTTTTTTCCTTCGTGTTTAGCTGCAAAATAAACACACCAAAGTGTTAATGGTTCAAATCCAGTGGTGCTGTAAAAGTCCTAGTGGGCTCAGATTGAGTTTTACCTGTATCTTCTTAGAGAGAGATTGAGTGAAGGATAAGTAAGTATTGTATTTGTTAGTAGTTCAAATTCAAAAGAAAACACATTTCCATCTGTTACAATCGATCAACCAGTTAAAACCCTTACATGATTTAGGGAAAGAAAAAAGAGTAAAAGTTAAGAATTTATCCAGTTTGAAATAGTAGTCATTTAAAGGAAGAGAAACTGAATAACAAAAGAGAAAGATTGTACCTTGTTGATTAGTTTGAAGGAATAAAAGATCCAAAAAAAGAAAAATCAAGGAAGAAAAAGCATCTGCAGAAAAAGGGTTTTCAGTTGGATGTAAGAGAGAGAGAGAGAGAGAGAGAGAGAGAGAGAGACGTACCAAAGAAATACATGAATTCAGTGGTTAAAGGCGATGCAGATGATAACAATGATTGTTGGTTGAGTTCTGTTGCGATAGTCGTAGCGGTGGCCAAGGTTTCCAGATTGTAGTGAAAAGGAATTTGAGGCAGAGGGGCGGGCAACATATGGGGTGAAAGAGTGTAGGGTTTGTGGAGGCGTGTATTTCCTGTTGACCGATTTTATCGGCTGAATAATGTGAGGAATGAGGACCGATTCAATTTTGACGAATTCATGTTTTAGAAGAGTTTGTTAGGTTAAGGGATACTGTTTTCTCTTTTGAATTTTTGACTTTATTGACCAAATAAATTGCAATGCATAAAGTCATTGTACATGATGCAGCAATGGCTTGTACCTCTTATTTTTCAGGCTCATACCAAATATGTATATTAAGGTGTATATATATATATATATATATATATATATATATATATATATATATATATATATGGTTGATTTAATATTTCAAAGGTTGTGACAAGGTTATCCCAAGATTTGTAGCATTTCTACGTTGTCAATTGGTTAGAATGTGGTCTTGTTTACTAAGATAGATACATCCATATCTAATATATAAATCAAAGATTTAAAACAACGGAGGCATCCCAAGATATAAAACAAAGTATTATATATCCAAGATATTACCCCAAGATATTATCTCAAGATAACAAACGAAATCACTTCGGATCAAGATGTCATTCTAAGATTTCATCCTAAGATATCAACTTCGACATAAGGTACACAGTCCTCATATCACTCTTGAATTCTAAGATTGCTTTGTACTCGTAATCCTAAACCCTCATTTTTAAAGTGTGCCACATTTTTAACCTTACACTCAAATTATTTCCATGTTGAATCAAAATTATTCTCGTTCATAAAAATATTTTTTCTTAAATATATCTTTCAAAATAAGGTACGAAATCAAAAAAAAATATTCTAAACTATCCACCAATGCCTTGTTGTTAATTAGAAACAAGATCATCCAACACGTTTATCCAAAGACTAAATGTTTTCTGCTCCTACAAAACCTTTTTTTGAAATTTGTTTTTTAAAGGAAGAACTAAGAGTTCAAGTTTAGATATATTTGAATTTTTTTTCTATAACTATAATACTTTCAAGCATATCCTTAAAAGACTATCTTGAATATAAAAAACTTTGCTAGAAAATTATTTTAAAACTACCCATTGTCATCCAAAAATAGAAAAGTATCATGTCTTCCACAACCATGCATGACCTAGATTAACTATTACAAGCCAAATTGAATTAAAACATATAGCAAAATAATTGTTCAAGTAACCAAATAAACAAAAAATTAAAACATATCAAGAAGCAATGTCCTCACCTTTCTTCGGACCCTAGACATCCTAGTCCTTAATATTCTCCTCTCCTACCTTCTCACCAACCTGTTCCTCACCATTAAACTTCTTCATAGCATGCTCCCACTTGGTTTTATCCCAGGAATTAACTCTATTCTTCTCAACATCCTCCACCATTCTCAACCTAGCTTCCAAAACCGAGACAATTGTGAATGTCTTAGCTTTGTTATCGATGTCGTCCAGTTGATCCTTCAATGCATCCATTTCCTCCATCATTCTCTCCAATTCTTCTTCTTGCTAACAAGTTATTTCACCTTCGATACAAGCTCATTGTCGTTCCGATTCATATCTAACTCATATTTTTTCTTGGTGGCCTCAAGTTCTTTTTTAAGTTCTTCAGCACGCTTCAACACTAAAGTGGTGGCCTGAAACCCAAGAATTATAATGAGAAAATATTATTAAAATGTACTAGAAAGGAGAATAGAAAACATACAGATTGCACTAGCATGACCACTTTCTGCTTGACCTAGAAAAAATTTAGCCCTTCAAATCCTTATTAACCCACCTCCAAAGTAAATTTCCTCTTCATGGGATCAGGACTTTTTGCCTTGATTTCCATTTTTCTTGCACCTACAGTGGTGGATTTCTCGACTTTCACGACGGGATCTGAAGAAAGTAAGCCATCCATATTGAAAGAAGAGCCGAGGAGAGCAATTGAACGAGTCTACCTTGTACCTAAGCAAAAGACAATAGTATCAGCCAACATATGAATAATATAAATGAAGATATATCGCAACATACCTGTGGAAATGGTTTATTTCGGATCTTTAATTTCGATGGATGAGCTACAAATTCCAGAAAGGAAAGCTTCTACCACCCAAAGCTTCTTTTTAATAATCGAAAGCTCTAGAAATTTTCAGACCTTCCCTTCAATAGCCTCTTGAGAAGAATTTTTTTTGTCAAACTGTGGAACTGCCCAGGATTAGAATATTAAAACCAGTATTAAATGAGTACACAAAGTAAAAAACACCCAAAATACAAAATCCCTACCCTCTGTTTACTAATCTTGGGAAGGAAGGTCTCGTCCAACGAAACTAGTCTTAACAAAAAATTATCTTCCATTCTAGTCATGATCTGTCGGAGAGCATTTTAAGGCTAGATGAGAACTACCGGTCTTCACTTTGAGACCAAATGATAATAACCAAAAAAGTTTAGAGCTAATAGACGGTCACTATTTCGAAGAACCAGGGCTGAAACCCGCGTTTTCATTAAGACGGTGAATCCAAAACTAAATGTGCCAAGTGATTGGCATGACTTGGGCATAAGAGAGCGTGGTTACAAGAAAAAACTTAGAAATCAACAAAGGGAAAGAAAAGGATATACCAATAGAAAAAGGAAAATCGTAGAAACAAACCCAAGATGGAGATTCGGTCCAAGGTTCCTAAAGATTTTACCTTGTGGAAACTTGCTTGATAATCGAAGCAAATCGATGTCGGCATTTGAAAAACTACTGACTTTACTTTCATTTTCAGGCAAAAAACCTAAATCTATGAAATCCTTGACAACAAGTTTCTCAGATCTAGCCCTAGCTCGAACAAGTCTTTTTCCCATGATCAAACAAACAAGAATAATGCGGGAAACGAGAAGAAAGGAATTACCTAAGAAGAAAACATTGATGATTGTAGAATAACTAGAAGAAAAAACAATGCAATGGGTTTATAAGAGATTTTTTAAGCAGAAAACTCGGCCATTCAAAATTCAAACTTCCTAGGATAATCGATGGATAAGATTGATTGACCCCAGAAATATGGGCCATGTCACATCAGTGTAATCCATTTTTAAATGCTAGAAATCTCCATTCATCCAGTATCTTGGATTGAAGATTTCTGGGGGAAATTGTTGTGGGTAGAAATTTTGACATACCATTTTTATCTTGAACTTGTACTAACATCATGGGCAAGCCTATTATCTTTTATTTATTCAGTATTCGAGTCTGTCACCGTATTTTTTGTGATATCTTATGAGGGACTTAAGGATTAATGAGAAAGGAATAAGACCAAGTTAACTACGCGTGGTCAATGCTTTATGAACGTTTTTTGAAAGAGCATTTATTCATGAACGTTGAAAACTCTCGAGAAAGACGGGTGAAGGAAAGATGAAGGAGAATCTCAAGAATGTTGGAGTTTTAGTTATTCTTCTGAAGTATAAAACACTAGTTGATCGATTCACACACATCCACTTCCACTTCTTCTTTTTCTCTGATTCTTTCAACACTTAAGCACAATCGCATCCTTTCTAAGATCAACTAGCACCTATAATTTTTATTATCGATTTAATACAAATTCTAAGGTAGGTCATTTCATCACATCCCGAGGCTTTATGCCGAAGATCCAAAAGGATTAAGGGCTTTCCTTATATATCAGTGTGTTCTTGATTTGATTCTACTCTTTTATGATTGTTTGATTGATTTCAACATTTATTGCATCCTTATTTGATTGTTTATCAGTTTTCACATCAACTTATTAAGACATTATATGTGGTATCTAGATACCTTTTCGAGTATCATACTAGTTTCTTACGTAAAATCACTTATTAATCATTTTTAACATTATTTTTTTCCCAAATATTTCAAAATACACTTGTTTACACTTTTAAATGAATCAAATTCATTTTTTTAATATTACTGCTTTCTTCCAAAGATCTTGGGCACGACCAAGATCTTCAACATATTTTAAGATCTTCAACACTCTAGCTTTTAACATTTTATTTCTAACATCATATCACACTTACTAATTGGGTTACAAAATTATTTTGTTAAATTTTGACAAAAACATGTATTATTGTCAAATTAATATAGTGCCTTTCTATCCTCCTATCTCAATAGACATGTCATGGGCTACTCCAAAGATAGGCTTGGACGGAGAGTTTACAGCTTTCCACTAGCCTATTTCCTTTGTATGAGACACACATTGTGTCGATTAGTGTTTTAACGTATCCTTTGTTTAGTTTGGCATTGACAAACATGAGGCCACGTCCCTACTTTTTGATATCCTTACGAGTCTTAGTGTCGTCTTTTGCTATAGATTTAAAAATTCGCATTAAGCTAATACGAGCTTCATTAACATATTTTTCTTCTTCAAAGACCATCGGATTAAAAGACTTCTTATTAGGGTAATTTTGAATCATGTTCATCACAAAAATAACATTTGATCTCTCTTCGGGTTCTGCTTCAATTACCTTTCCTTTAAAAGTTTGGGGGTCTCGATGTGGGTCTATCTTCCCTTGGTTTTGTCTTTGTCACAAATTTATCTACATTACTAGGCTTCCGTGTTGGAGTATCTCTTCGAAAATCAATCAAATCTTCTGCTGCCGCAATCGCTTCATGTATATTCAAAACCTTCCTCCTCTTGATCTCATTGTAAGCCCTAGATTTCCATATTTCCTAGAAGTAAAATAACTTTTCTTCCTTTTGTAGATCGGGAAACTCTAGTATTAGTGTGGTGAATTCCACCACATAGTCTTTGATTGACCCGATGTGTTTTAACCCACAAAGTTTCTTCATAACTATATCTTTAACATTATGTGCATAGAATTACCTATTTAGTTTCTTTTTAAATTTTTCTCACATGTCTATGGTGTAAAATCCCTTTTCTATGTCCCCATGTTTACGTCTCCACCATTGAGCAACATTTATGCTTAGGTAAAGGACGACATTGTCTATTTTCGACTTGTCATATTTTACCCTAGTTGCATTATAATAACATTCTAAGGACCAAAAAAACTCGTCAAGTTGTTTAGGATCACACATACCTCCATATTGTTGGGTTTAGGTGCTTTTGTGTGTGTCATCATTTTTGCAACTGCTCCTCCCGCAATTGGTACTTTGCATACATTTACTTTCGCTTTTAAGGAACCTATCTTCTCACGGAACTCATTCTAAAAGGTGTTGATCTTCCTGATGACTTCCTTCTTGATGACACCAATGATCTTTTTTATTTCATCTATAACGCCCTAATATGAATCGTTTCCTATGTGGCGATGGTGACCCAAAGACCGAGTATCATCAGACTTCAGACCTTTGACAAAAAGAGATTTAGACCCACATAGGTGTGGGTAATGTAATTTGGATGATCCGGGAATTCGGTCTGTTTTTTGGAAACAAGGGGTATTTCGGTAAAGTGTTAGTCCGGGCTTTTATGAATTTTGGATTTTTGTTCAGAAAGTTTTAAGGAAAGGATGATTTGATAGAAGGGTAGAGCTTCTCGTTACCTTTCTGTTGATATAAAGAACATCAAAATCGGCGTTAGAATGAAGAAGTTATGCATGCTTGACGTTTGGTCGATTTTGGGTTGTGCTCAGTACGTTGGGCGTACAAAGGGGAGAACGTTGGGCATAATGAGGCACCCTAAGTACGATGGGCGTACGCAATCAGTGCCCAAACCCTATTTTTTGTGGTTTGAGCCCCATTTAAGCTCCTTAACTCCCGTAAACCCACTCCATTCTCAGCCTCCACCCCTCCAACACCCCTTCCATGAAACCCTAACCCTAGTTGAGCCTTGTGTAATAAAAGAAGGTGTTTTTAATGCTTTGGAGTATGCATGGTGCACCTTGGAGAAGAAGGAACTTCTTGGAGAAGTGTTGGTTGCATTGGAGCTTGTAGATCTGGACTTTGTTCACCTTGATCTATCTTCTAGAGGTATAAAGTTTGAATCTTGATGATGCATTTGTTAGATCTAACTAGTTTTGGATGTTATGAGCTTTTGGTCATTTTAGTGCATAAAGTTTAGATCTTGAAATTTTGTGACATTGTTATGGATAAAGTTGGAAACTTTATCCATCTAAACATAATTTTGATTTCAGATCTGAAAGTTGGAGACTTGTACTTAATGGATTAAGCTGAAAAAGATGAACTTTTTGGTCTCTTTGAGACTTAAAAACTAGATCTTATTTTGTGGGACCATTCTAATGGATAAAGTTGGAAACTTTATCCATTATAAGGCTATTATGAACTATAAAAATGTGCTCTTGGCTCTTCAATCCCTTCCATGCAAGAGTTGTGATGTCTTATTCGGTTAAGAACTTAGGGTTTTGATATTAAGCACTTTATAGCCATGCAAAGTCATAAAGTTGGAATCTTTATGACTTAGGACCTCATTTTGGGCTTGGATCTAAGTTTTGAATGTAAGAACTTAATGGAATAAACTCTTAATGGAGTTTTGGGACTGGGTGTACCTAGTGGTACGCGGCGCATACGCGGTCAGCGCCCCGTTATTATTCAACATCAGAGTATGCGGGGCGTACTCTCTTGGTACGCAGGGCATACTCCGCTAGGAATAAATATTGACTTTTGGACCTTGATCGTTGACTTTGACTTTGACCAGGGTTGACCAAGTTTCACCTAAGGGTATTTTGGGTTATCGGGTTAATTATTGATTAAGATTGTATTTATTGTTAGTTGGCGCGAGGTTATCCGGTTCGGAGATCCGAGGAGTTATTTGATTATCATCGGATTGAGGTGAGTCTTCCTCACTATACTTACGGGTCGAAGGCACCAAGGCCGGCCCATTGGATTACATATCCTGATATGTGATAATATTATGCTATACTTAGTGATTTGTAGATCTACCTGATTGTTTGCTGACTGATTATATGTTTATTTGTATGTATGCACATATTTGGTTGGTGGTTGAGGCTTTACTGCTTTGTACGTGAGCCAACAGACCGAGGGTATTCCAACCCGATGGTTGACTGGACCCGAGTTATGTATATATTGGCATTCCAATCTAGGGTATTCCATCCTGAGGATGATTGGAGCCTGATGTGCACAAAAGTACCTAACAATTTTAAATTTATTTCCTAACTAACTTAACTAACCAATATGCACCTAGACAGTGTACCTAGTCGGATTGTAATGTAGTTTAAGTAAGTCGAGGTCGAACACAGGGAACGGTTTTAATTAATTAATCTAACTACTATTAAGTTAACCTAAGATTCTAGCAAAGTAATGGTTTTTATCTAATTTTGCAAGTTTAGATGAACTTAATTCCTTAACAACTATTCAATCAATTAACAAAAACACTTATGTTAGTTTGAATCCACTTTCCCTCAATGGTTTTAAATAATAATTATGACAATTCTGTTGGTTACCAATTAAAACATTATTAGCAATTCAATTCCAAATTTACTAACATTCAATTAATTCATTTAGATATATGTATGGTCACACATAATTTAACACATAATCAATTATTAAATAGTATTGGAGCTATGTAAGATTGAGTTGACAAACACAAATTATGGTCACAATATGAGTTCTCTAGCACAGCTAAATTCAATAATTCAATTGCTTATCTAAGATTGGTTTGATCTTAGCACTAACAATCTAATGTTCACTAAATTACTAGGTAATCAAATTCATGCAGATTAACGATCACTAACTACATAGAATAAGATTCTAAAGCAATATAGTTACCAAATTAAGCATGCTAGGTGTAATCAATCAAACACAAGACATTAACCAACAAGAAAAGTCTAAATCTATTTAATCAAACTATGAGTTCCAGCTTCATCTAGCTAACAGAAGTAGCTAGATTTAGCTACTCATTCTAACA